TATTTGTTTGCTACTATTCTGTAGGTCAAAGAAAAAATATGTGATTTGTCGTTAGAAAAAGCAATGACGTTTAAACAATTATTTTCCTTGTACATGTAAAAGTCTGTCAGACGATAGTTTATTTTTTGTGTCCGAAAACAAATAGATGGCAGTTGATTTATGTATAAATTTTTTTTTTCTCCCAAGATAATTTCAAAATATTGGTGTGTTTGCTTATCTGTTACTGCATCTTTTACTTTCATGTTTTTAAAATCTGTTCTTTCGATATTTTCATGATTTGCTGTGGTCGTTGTGTGTGAATGTGTATCAATTAATTCATCTTGATTATTTTGTTCTGCTTCTTCATCATCGCTTAAATCAGATTCAAGCGTTGTTATTGTTTCCGTTAACAATCGTTTACGGGAACGTTCAGATATGAAATGTGATAGATTTTGTATGGTATCGAGATGTTGCAGACATATTTCATGATAAATGCCAACTTTTTTCAACATTAATTTAGCTTGTTTAAAAGCATCTAATACAATATTTTCGATAACTTTTGCTTTCCATTTTGAGATGTCATCTTCAATTATTTGATTATCTTTTATTCGTGTTTTCTGTTTATGATGTTGAGGAAAATAAAGCTTATCCTTCGCACCGCTAGCAGCTTCAGTCGTTTTAATGTTCATCAATACTGTTAACTTGTGTGCGCGATCCAAAAATTCTTTTACGGAAAAGTTAACAACTGACTGAAACGTACCGGACATACTTCTTGTTAAACGAAACAGTCCTTCACACGGTTGCGAACTGAACAGATAAATATTGATTGCTGATGATGGTAAGGTTTTATTGATAACAAGCATCTGTATATAAATTAGAAAATGACAATTAATTTCGATTGAATGATATGCGCTTGCTGTAATAAAATGTTTCGAACGTTGCTTAAAAGGTAAAATTTTGTTTGTCGTATCTAACCAGGCACGCCAGAAACGAATAAAAAATGCTACTGTCCAAGCGTAAGAAATTCGTTCCGTTGCTGCTGTTCTTCTATCGATAAATGCATAAATCAAGAATCTCATCAGAAGCAAGTAAATAAATGTACCTACAGAAGAAGAAAAATTGGAAACAAAATGTATTTTCGTGTCAGAAACACCTAAACATCTTTTTTCGTTATTACTCTACTTTCAGCTTTTTTCTAACTTGACATACCAGATGCATGCTTCGTTTTAAATAATAAATTTAATACACTTTCACTACAAATTTTATCACAAGCATTCATATTCTGTCGATCTTTTGCTTGTAAATAGGATGATACAAGACCATGGTCAAGTTTTGAATGGTTTTCTATTATCTCCTGAAGATGTTTAAGGTCAACCTGATAATACCCAATTATCAACATATTTGTTCTAAATAGACGATTTCTTGATTTTGTCAGCAGATGTGTTGCGTCTTGTATGAAGGTGAATAATTGTCTCGAGCTGATGTAAAACCAAGACCATCCTAAAGAACGGATATCTATAAAAAGAACCCTTTCGATGAAGGAGTTAGAAGTATAACTGTAGAAAAGTTCTTTTTCTTGTTTATTTTGTCTACTAACGGGGTATGTCCGCGTTGAAACTTTCTTCTTCATTGTCATAAACAATCGCTGGTGCACTTGCAAAAAATTTCGCCACTAAACGCATAGCCCTAAGGTACTTGCTATCACAACCGGCTGAAAAACCAACAATTCTTATCCCTTGAACTAAACATTTTTTGTGAATAAAATACCACCTTCGTAGTACATCCAAAGCGGTGTAATTACTGTTTGTACCATACGCGGCCAATAGTTAAGGTCGTGCACGTAATTCATCAGTTCTTGATAACACTGGTTGTGCAACGTGAACATTTAATAATGTTGCTTTTGGACGATTTAACAGCCATTCTTTAAACAGATCATATGATGCTGTTTGATACGCGTGCGGTTTTGGCACTCCTTCAAAAAGTGGTGGTACAAATCCTATGAATTCGTTATTGTCATAATCATAGTTTATTTTACTAACTACTCCGGTACAATCTTCAGACATGTAGACAAATTTCGTTGGTGTTGTAAACAGGTACGTTGACAAATGTTTAAAACGAAATACAGCTTCATGTAATGGTTCAAATGTTTGTTTTATTTCAGATCGTAGTGATGTAATCGATGGAATGGAGCCAGGTAAATTCTGTCGAATTATTTCGTATCGCGTGCGTCCACACAGAATGTATAATGCTTCCGAGAATCGTTTCAGTAACGGATCATAATGATAATGATTACGTGTTGTTTGAGAATTGTACTTCATATTCGCAAGAAATATACTAACAAATGTTTGATTTATTTGTCGGTCTCTTGATTGCTGTTCTTTAAAATCATTTAGATGTTTATCATTATTACGTATTTCAGCGGTATTATTTTCATTATCATTCTCCACATTTACAAACTTAGAATCAATAATCTCAGTTACTTTATTTAAAAGAATGTCAAAATTCATCTCGATTAATCGTATTTGTGACGCGTCATTGATCATTCGATTTCTTCTTCTTCTACCATAACGTGATCGATCTCGAATGACACCTGCAGCAGATGTGGGGTGTTTTTCGAGCTTTCTTGACTGCTGTGTTGTCCAAGAGAGCTCTACTGAAAATGCTGACTGTTGTTGTTAATGATGTCATTTGATCTCATTGTTAAACACCTTTTTGTTGAGCTGACACCATCGGCATCTTGATCCTCGTCATCAAACACATGCAATCGTCTCTTCGCTGATAGTTTAACCTGTTTGTTATTTTTATTTTTATTTTCAGATACTTTATTGATGGCAGACGAGTCATGTTTGGATTTTACTGTTGATATATGTGAAGAAAGCAAATTAATTATAACTAATGAGTGTAACTCGTTGAATTTGTCAGGTGAATGTCCTACCTATTTTTGGTTTTGATATCACCTGATTATTTGAGACTGTTTTGACTGTATTTGGTTTGTCAGAAGAAACATTTAGTGGTGTATTGTGGTTTTCAGTGCTTGTTATTGGCTGTTTGCTATCCTTTGTAGCAGAACATCGTTTATCATCAACCCTGAAGCATTTAAAGTTTTAGTATGTTCCCTTCCCTTCTATAGAGACTAACTTACTTTAAAAATTTTTCATGGAATTCTTGTTGATTTTCTGATTTATCACTTAAATCCGTTGTTGTTTGATTATTAATATTATCATCTTTTGCTATTTTAATAAACATCTGTTTTAGATTCGATTGCCTAGTTATACTTAAATCACTTTTTCTCTTCTTTCCGTCTTTGCACGCTTTACTTGATAGATGAGAATAAAAGTTTGACATTTTAAAGCGCCCTTGACCGTGACCTAACTTTACTTGAATCCTGTTTGGGAGATGCCGATTGTCTTTTACGTACTACATGTACGAACGAATGGAAAGATGCACAGAAAATAAAATCAGTTCGATTACTTTGCAATACATGCCCAAATACATAAGCTTAAAATTAATGTATTGTAATTTTCTTTGCTTTGTTTCTATTTCTCTTAATGACTGTACGCGTGCATTGCTTCATATTTCAGTCAATGGAAATTCGAGTAAAAAATCTCTATGAATTCTAAAATTTCCTTAGTGATTTCTTTTTAGCTTACTATGATTATGAAATCAGCTAGAATTACAAATCTGATGATAAAAGAAACGATGTGGTCAGATAGAAGTGAAAAATAGAGTAGAAATCGACTTTCAATCGTATAAAGACGATCGATATCTTACCAACTTTGATGCTCAAGATGATGGTGAAAATGGCATTTGCCGAAAAATTGGCTACAGCCATTTTGTAGAGCTCGATAAGCTCTATCTGTTTTGATATAAAATGGAAAAAATTTTCGGGGAGTTTTTGAGATATGGGAGCCCAAACTTTCCGAATTTTTTCACTAAATCGATCACTGTTCAGAAACGCCGATAGCTATCGGCCTAATTCTTTTACCATTTTACTCAGCTTTCGTACCTTCATATTTTCGTCTACGGTAGTCAAGCGTTTTATTTGGCTTTGGGAGAAAAATCCTAAAAGTGCCCCTAAAACTTTGAACTTCTGGAAAACCATGTTCCACATGTTTTTTTGAAAAACGAGCCTAATGTTCTAGAGCTAATTTGACAATTGAAGAACTTCTTAAGGCTAAACCATTCTGAGCTAAAGATACCACCAAAATGATGTACATGCATCGATATGAAAAAACAAATCGGTTTCGACGTATAGTTTAGTTCAAGCATCAAGGCAACGCCGTTCCACGAATCAAGAAACATACGCCACATAAGGAGATCTAGGTGAGCGTCTTGGTTGGTGTACACTTGATGATTCAGATTATCGACGGTAGTAGAAAGTTTCAACAAGAATGATGTGAATGAATGTCTTGCTACGATCACTCTGGTGGCAAAACTCATGTGACCGAGCGAAATGAGCAGGGCTCTTTTGGTGCATTTACGACGATTTAACATTGACTTAACTGAGGTTTGTATTCTTTCAACTTCTCAAGAATGGCGGATCACCGAAAAATTCTATCGGGGGCGCAGCACCGAATATAAACCATAACATTGATGCGGATTGATTTCTACATGATGTTCCTGATGCACCTCAAACATGTGCATGTGTTACTGATCTATTTGGAAATATGGTTGAAAGTCTCACGATCGACTTTGTTTCAAATGGGTGTTACAGCAAAATTCACGATTTTCCGGATTTGGGCTCTTAGTGCGCCATCTATTACAAAATAACGAAAGCATATTTTGAGCTCGCGGTTGCATGGATTTGTAGTAGACACTATCTGCTACTTATGGTAAAATCGCCAAGGTTAAGTAATCTGTTGTTACTGCGTTAGAAGAGTTTAAAGTTGGCAAATTTTCAAGATGGCGGAATCTACGTTTTTCAGGGCTTTTCGTAAAATATCAATATCTCAGCAACGATACAACTTTTTGATTTGCGCCTTTTACCAAAATTCCTTAAAATGTTTGGTCTACAAAAGCCCCCTACTTTGGAAAAGTTTTGAGAACATCGATTGAAGGCCACTCCGCTGTAATAGGTCGTGGCTAACGTGCAATGGCTCCTAAATGTGTTTTCCCAGCAAAAATAGCGTTTTTCGTATCTGATTGATATCTATACTTTTACTAGGGATATTTTGGTGTACTACCAGTGGAAGTACCCGGAACTTTCACTTTTGCGATCTGTTTGTCAAAAATATTGATTACAGTTGATCTACTCTGTCCTGTGATTACGGAGAAGGAGGAACATTTTTTAGGGTAATTCAGACCCATTGTGTCAAGATTAAAGCTGGTTTTTCCTCATATTATTCTTTCTTTCTCCATGAATTGATTCATACTCCTCTTTTTCTTTTGTCACTTTTAGTAGATACGTTACATTTTTCTCCTTTCTTTCTTATTAAAAAACCTGTTGTTTTAGCTGTCGTTTTCATATGCATATAAAGACAAAGTGAAAGCATGATTTTTAGTCATACATTTTAACTGTTCTGCTAAAAGTTCGCGCCCGACATTTATTGTCAATATCAGTCTTCTTCTATACTTTAACGGCAGGACATTGACAATAAATGTCGGACGCGAACTTTTAGCAGAACAGTTAAAATGTATGACTAAAAATCATGCTTTCACTTTGTCTTTATATGCATATGAAAATGACAGCTAAAACATATCACAGAGATTCTATTATTTTCTTTTCGTGTGTTACAAAGAAACATATGACTGACTGCTGATATTAGTACAAAAGGCATGTATGCATTTTGATAAAATAGAAAATAGAAAGAAGAAACTGAAGAAAAAAGAAATACAATAGAGTCTTAGCGTATAGCACATTTTAATGCGGTGCATATGTCGACATTCAGACGCATTTGTTATGATAGAACGAAAAAAGTCCTTTTCTTTCCTTCCACATAGGCTACCTAATGTCACATTTGTATTCCTATATGCGAATAAAAAAGATGTGCTATACGCTAAGGCTCTAATAGAGTTTTCTCTTTTAGCGTATCTTTATGTTTTTCTTGATGTCGCATGTAGATATGTGTATGTCAGACATGAGGATACATATAGAAAAGAAAAGGTGATCTGTATGCGACATCAAGAAAAAGATCAGGATACGCTGAAAGAGAAAACTCTAATGACATGAGCAACTTAAACATATTTTATGAAGTCGCTTTTTCTCCTGTTTTCCTTTTTCTTTACAAAGTTCGCGTCCGACATCAGTCTTCTTTACTTCTCGGAGCGCACACACATCAGCTTTTGAAGAAAAGAGAGTCATGGGTAATGCTAGCAGTACACCGGTAGTTTATAACTCAGATGGTTCTCTCACTGAAGTTTACATTCTATTTAAAAAGCTGGGTAAAGAATGCTACACTTCTGATCCCGACGTTTCTCATCACATTTGTCTATTAAAAGTAAAAGACAAGTTTTACTGTACCGAACTGCACTCCGGCACTGACGTGGGTGCTGGCCGCGGGAGCAAATGCTCTTCTGGCGGCAAAGGCCAAATCAAGATTCGATTCGACGAGTATCAGTTTTACAATACACGTCCAATCTACTATTATCGTGTCGGCTGTACACGGAAGACAATCGCCGAAATCGAAGAATATGCCAATCGAAGTAACTTCAACGATACTGATTATCATTTCCTCTTCCACAATTGTAAAGACTACGTGGAAGCATGTATCGAATTCTTGGCAATTGAAAATCCAATCAAAGAGCCGGGTGTATATGTTGGCCGAGAAACCACCGGCGATAAAATGTACGCTGCTTTTGCTGCAAATCATCCAAAGGACATTAAACTGAACTAAAATGTATCTAACTGCACTACGTGAACACACTCGTCTAGGGATTCTACTTAATGACATCAGACTTTTACGTATTCCGATGTTTGTCACATGATTTACGCGGCTATCAGTCGGCATCAATTGGAGTTTGGCTTATTTGACTTTTTTCTCGTAGTCTTCGCTGACAAGTTTTAATAAACAGACGACAAGATTTCTTATGCAACTTTTTAATAGTGATAAGACGAAGGGGAAAGAGCAAACCAGTTGACATATCCCGTTGCCGATATAAAGGAGAGAACAGAAACGTCTAGATCTAGAACATAATAGAAGTTGTAAGTATGCGTATGCATCGAGCGAGAAAGCATCTAACATGAATACCATCCTAGGCTTTTCGTTGCATCTTCGGGCCTTCTAGAAAACTGTGCTAATGAAAAGGTGATCAACGTTTTACCCCATGGTCAAAACTTTAACCACTCAGCAGCGAATGAGGCGGAACTGGGTACTATTTCTCCATTCTTATTACCTACTGGGTAGCCACTTTCCCTACTCCATTTTCCCTGCTTGGTATCCCGTATACCCACTCCTGTTTACCCATTAAAAGATCTCGGAGTAAAAAAACGCTTACTCAGTACAAATTCACCGATTAAAATACTAAGCAGATTTTTATACATTTTTCAGTACAGATACTGAGTAGGCGCTTTATAACAATTTTCGTGAAATACTTGAGAACTAGTTTTCATTTTTGATGCGTTCATATGCGTCATATTTCGACGCGTCAAGGCGCGTCTGTTACATTTCGATTCAATAAATTGTTATAAATCAACTATAAAGAACTATTCAGAGTCGCAGAACGTCGCATTGTCGAGAAATCTTTGCTCTAAAAAGTTCAGCTGTAAAGACATCTCTTGAAATTATTTCTAACCCTTTGGCGACGGGAAGCCCATATATAGGCAAATGTCGCAACACTGCTGTAACTCAAGAATCATAACAGCTAGTGACTTCTAATTTTGTGTGATCATAGTTCTTACCAAATGCTGATTATCCACCAAGTGTGGGTCTCTTTTACTGGATGGTTCGTGAGGTATAAGTGATTGATTTCTTTTCCGTAAAATATCAATAGCTCCTCATCTAAGAAAGATGAAAACTTTTTCTTTTTACCAAAATGTAGCCACGACTCTACTCTGTTTACGATATGAATTTCGTGAGTTGACAGTTAGTAGTCTGTGAAATACAGCTATTTTACGGGTGAGGTTCGCGGTTTTTTGTTGAAACTTCGAGCTCCTTTTCGAAAAAAATTCACAACTCAGTCTAGGAGCATCATTTTGACTTCAAATTCG